AATTTTTGTATGCTGTTTGATTCGTTTCGTTAATGCAACTTTTCTTTCTGCAGTATAATTACTTCACAATCATATTCAGTTTGGTATTGCAACTAAGTTTGCTCTTGATTCTATTGATGAGTTAGGGTAAGATTATAATGTATTTGGATATGAGAAAACAAAGAATCCCAGGTCGACGATTACGAAGTTTTTATACGACTGTAAAAGACCATATATGATCTCGATACGACCGTTTACGGTCATGTTTTACCGTAATACATGAGTCAGTATTACGATCGTATGTCCTCGTGACCATATAGGGTGTGATACGATCATTTACGGAGAAATACGGGGCAAAACGGATACCGTATATGGAGTGCGCATACGCAAATCGTAAATGATCGTATTACTCCATATACGATCGTTTACGACTGTGTTTGCTTGACCTGGAACTGTATCTTGAGTTTTTTCAATTACCTTTTTGATAGTGTTATTTCAGTTGTATATGGTAAAGTAATAGAATATTTCATTGCATTGGTTTTTCTCTATATTAGTGATGTTTGATTCTCTCGACTTTAGGTAGGGTCATATGAGAAAACGTAAAAAGAGTTTATGCGTGTCTACCTGTTCGTGGCACCGTCAAAAAGACACCAGAGGGAAAGTTAATTTAGGCGTAACCTCTAAAGTTTCACTAAAGGTAATTGAGGACAGGACATCCGAATCCAAGGCCAGATTTGACATCCGATCTTTCTATTGACTAGGAAGCCGACCAATCAGAAATGACCTTTTTTATTTTGAGGTTTTCGGGACCTTTTGATAGAACTTTGCAATAGGTTATCGATATCCAGAAATCCGAATGCGAAGTCGGTTTTTCCGTTTAAGCTTTCGTTGACTAGAGAAAAGACCAATCATGAACAAGCTTTTTTTTCTCTCGACTCAAGGGAGGATCATGGGAAATAAAACGAGTTTGTAATCTGGCAGTCATTGGAAGAGTAACGCATTCAAATGTGTTAGCGTGATTACAGATTTAATAATCGAAGTAACATCAAATATATATATAAAGATTTTTCAGGTCGCCAGTTCTGCCAATTAAATTTTTTCGGTATTCGGCTGTGAATCTGTCAAACTTTATTCGAATAGCAGTAATTTAATGTGTTCCCGTTTCTTTCCTTAGTAGCTGGTGTGATTAGGAAGGGTTGATGTGTAATTGGAACATTTTCTGTCATACTAATGTGCAATCCATGATATTTTTAGATGGTGTGCGCTTGACCTTAGTTGATGAGTTGCATCAGATCAACTTTATTGTAAGTTGTCCTATCTAGATATGGTTCTCGAAGTAGATACGTGCCAGAAAAAATATATAACGCGCAGAATTCCATCCACGGAAAGACACATTTAGGGTTTCACCGACATTCGCATCCATACCGACAAGTATTTATGAAATTCAAAGCCTAGTTTTAGTCGATTCGACATTATTGGTTTTTAAATCTACTCTCATTATATTTTTTTCTGGCTAAGCATTCAGTTATTCGCACATTTTTTCAACAGTTGTGACTCGTCTAAGTTCTATAGTCATTATAATTCAAAGAAGCTAAAATAACAAGATATTGGTAAACGAGGTCATAACTTTTATGGTAAATGGAACATAACCAACTATTATTTTAATGCATTCAAATAACAGATATTGCAAGCGCACTCTAGATTCGCTTAAGAAAAGATCTACATAAAAACTAGGTTTTTTGAAAAAACGGCAGTAAGATTTCCTTAATCAAGAATTCCAATAAGACTGACTTTTCAGGGAGAAAATTAAGTTGAAGAAATAAAGGATAGTTCATAATAAAGTGTCAATTTGGCACTGCTCATCGAGAATTCTCGTGTTACAAACCTAACGATTTTTCGAAGTAAGAGCAGCCTGGAATTCGATAGGATCTAAATCCAATGGGATGATCTTATGGGAGAAAAGAATTTCACATATCAACGTCTAGCCATGAATGACGCTGACAAGTGACTAGCCGCTACGCTGGAAAATTCCCTGAGCTAATGTTTCAGGCTGTTGGAATTCATCGGATAAATGTCAACAGTCTAGATCTAATGGGGTTGGATAGGGGCTAGCGGTGACAATTGAACTGAGAAATATTTTGAAATAAAGTGTACGAATGGCTTTTCTGTACGTTCACAATATTTGAATAGTACATTTGACAGAAAACATCACTCAAAGAATTTATATTCGCTGTATTGGAAGTATTTATGAATGAAATAAAAGGGAGTTTTCTGTTGGTATTTGTTCTTGTCTGTGTTCACTCACGTGTCGGAATGTATACGAAATACTCAAATTATCTGTCGAGTCCGACGGCTACTTTGAGTAGGAACTTCTTTAAAGTATGATATTCGGATTACAGATCAGATCTTATATGATTTGTTTTAAACTAGAAGTTCAGCAAAAGTCGTATTTTTCTAGCGGATGTTCTGAGAAACAACACTGTTGGCTAATGTGTTATTAGGCATACAGATTTTTAGTAGAATTTTCAAGAAGTATGGTGCATTTCCACAATAATGCCGCGAATGCATTTTGCTTCGTAACATCTCAGAAAGTTGAACATAATCTCTATTTCGGGTGCGTTCGGATACTGCTGCCGTAGTGTAGTTGCTTAGATTTCTGCTGAGTATTAATAAGTGGGTAACAATTTGATTAGATGAATTTATGACAAAAGTTATCACACGAGACCCGTGTACCATTGTGCATAACGAGATTAACGCTAATATCAACGTCCACACACACCTACCCACTCACTCTTGTGAAACGTTGTTTACTAGCTTTGTTGAAGACTGTAAAGCAGTATGTAACACTGAAAGAGCCGAATATTCAGTCGAGGGTCAGGCAAGTCAGACGGACAAGCGTTACTTGCAGTTAATTGTCGATTGTGTTGTTTTCATTACATTTTTTATTTCACTTTTAGGGTAATTTGAGTTTCTGGAAATTTCGATCAGTCTCTTTTAGAGTTTCCTTTTGTGCTGCATTATTTTGTGTTGTGTATATTATTCGTCATGACAAGACTTATAATTTAATACAAGTATTAACTACATTTTCTCTTCTAAACTATATAATATCTTATTATCATTTGGATTTCTAATTAATATAGTGTCAAGAAAATTATTCATATTATTTTGTTCGTAGTCAATTATGAATTTTACACTGCTCTTGATTTTATTTAATCCATTCACGTATTCATACAATTCTGTTCTATTCATGTTGGTAATTAATAACATGTTATCTATGTATTTCCACAGTTATTGCGTTGTGTTAATTTTACTTAGATGTTTCTATAAATAATCGTCAAGATATAGATCTGTCAGCATATATGGTACATAATTATCGATCAATAATATTTAGTTTTATTTACAGTATATATTATTGAATTCAACATAATTATTATTTGATGATAATATGAGTAATATCTTCAGATTTATTTGTCTTAATAATGAGTTATTAAATACTTCTGATTTATGAATTCTAGCTATTATCATGTTCGGTGTTTTTTTTACTGGTGTATTAGTAAATATATCTCAATATCTGGGCTTGTGAATATTTCATCGATTTTTAATATTACTTTATATATTTTCTTTTCCAAATTTCATGTGCTGGTAATTGCATTATGAATTATTGTTCTTAATTCTTTTATAAATGAAAAAGTGAATTGTAATCATGATGACATTATTGAGTGTTTTGAGTAAGTAATTAATCTCATGAAATGGTTCATCTTGTGCATTTTTAGTTGCTCTCTTACTCGAGGTAAGTCTTCTATTGAATTTAGTAGGTGTTGTTGGGCTCATTTTAGGTTTCTTTGGTTTGAATACCTTTTCAGTAAGTTCAAAAATATTCTTTTTGATTTTATTAATTGGATTTTGTACCTGTTGTAAAGTACCGGAAACACGAATTTCAAGTAAAATTGCTTTTCGTCCTTTTTCACACAGATCGATAGAGTGTGAGCTGCTGGTCGCGAAAACTATTTTTTAGCCTCAGGAAATGCCTTCTTCCGGTCGAAAAATATGAAATATTCGAAGGATGTCATTTTTTTTTCAAAAAACACATCTTTTTCAATATGTGCAAAATTTTCTACTTGGTTCTTTTTTCGGATTCAGCATCAAAAACTGAGTATAAAGAAGTTGTTAAAACGACTCTAGATCCAAAACTCTATCGATGGTGGCGCCTCGAATCGCGTCGAGTACACCATGAATAGGTTGATTTTGTAAACCAATCTAGTTTTTCTACGTAAGTGATAATAGCAAATATTTTATCTCATTCAACTCATTATATCACCAGTCAAAAATTTACGCATCGCTTTTTTTTCTTTCCTTTTCTTTGTCGAGAAAAATCATGTTTACTGATACCATAGGAGAAGGGGGAAGGTCATTTAAAAAAATGTCTAATTTTTGTTCAAATCGAGGCAAAATATATTCAAATGGGTAAAAGCTGATGGCAAATCGAATGAACATATTTTTGAGGTCTCTAGAGGATTTACAAAGAATCTCCAGAAAACGTTTCCGCGAAAAGTTAGAGTTTTCTGGTTCCAACCGATATTTTATGATCTTTTATGGGCGAATTGATTACTTTTCATGCTTTCTCACTATTTCATATGGTTTGCTATATAATATAAATGCAACCATGCAGAGTAAACGTGCTGAAATAGAAAAAAATTCGTTCATTAATCTTCGTCTATGTTTCTATTTGATATTCTACGATGCGATTGAATGGCTGTTTGCAAAGTCGACTGAAAAACAGTTTTTATCTGCCAGCATATGTTTGACCTTGAGAATATGCTTCGATTGATCGACAAAAGCGTCGAAATTATTTGAATGTAATTTTTTGTTCGATAGAATTGATGCGCGAATCTTATATTAATTTTATCATTTTTTCAAAGGTTTGATCTGTATATGAACGAATATATGCCTTTTGATTGCACCAAAGACCTTCAATTGCATTTAATTCACAATGATATTTGGAATAGTATATAATCTTAATATTATATTTGATGGCTAGCATTTGAAGTTTTGTAACCAAGACAATAAAGTAATTTACATAGGATAAAATATATCTTTAAAAATTTGCAATGACTTTCACTTACATTGTGAAAAGCTCGATGTTTTGAAATTATGTCACGAATTTCATCCAATTTTATTTTAGCTGGTAATTGTACACCTAAGCCTTTACATAATTCAACTAAACCTTTTGATTTATCTTGTTTGTCCCCTGTTTAAAATAACAATCAATAACTTTCGTTGCATCATTTTCATCACCATATTTGATTTTTTCAACCGAACACAGAGTACCAATATTTTTACCAAATTCTTGCAATGAATATGCCTTAGTAGCATGAGTTCTTACATTGTTCACGATGATTTCTAACTGATTATGCTTGTATTTTTTTTTAAATTCTAGCATTTGAAAGAGTCTTTCAAACTGACTTAAGATTGTATCATTATCGAAGTAAGCGTCGGCTTCGACATTAATACCAGCTGTTGCTGTATGACTAAGATAATTAACATCACTATCAACATTCAATGATTTATATTTTGCAACCGCTTGTTTCCATTCATCTTCGCTACGTTCAAAAAACGAGGCACTCAGATGTTGAACATGAAAATCAGATTCCATATGACTGCGATCACGACCTTTTGAAAAAAAAAGTGTATTTTCTTTAAAAAAAAACAGCGTTTCTCGGACTAGCTGCACCACTTCTAAAGGTCGATTCATCATGAACTAATAAAGATAAACACGAAGAAAAGTATTATATAAATTATATCTAAAAAGTTCTGAATCCTTTGCTTGCATATTACTATTCTATGATGATTGTGAGAAGGAAAATTCCACATTGGTATTTCACCATCCGTAATTGTATAGTAATAATCTTTGTGTGCTTGAAAATAATTATTAAATTCATTACGATGTTTCACCACATCATATCTTTCATGTCCTTCAAAATATGGGCGCTGTGAATTTGCTTCGAATTTAGCTCCCCATCTACGAAGATCCAAACGACAACTTTTTTCTGTTCATATCAAATCATCCCCACTTTGTTTTTTAATTCCCTTTAATGCATAATATTTTTCATCAATGAAATTAGCCAGATCTATCGCTTTGAAATCTCCTGATTTTTGTGAACATGCTTGAACAACGAATGTTCTAGCATCTGCTTCAGTCTCGGAAAACGTATCATCATATGAATCAGTTTGTTTAACACCGCGTAAATCACTTAAAAATTCTTCATAATCCCCATTGATTAACGTTGATACCCATTTATGTGAAGTTTGCTCTGTCATGAAACGAATACCTTTTAAATATTCATCAATGTCTTCTCATTTAACTCTGAAGAAGCATAATGACGATATAGGGCAATACACTAAGATATTTTGTGTCACATTTTGACTTGCAGATTTGACCAAAATCGCCAATATCGGTTAGCAAAAGTTTGCCTTTAAAATTTAATTCTTCATCATCAATATCCATTCTATATTCATTATTGGAGGAGTCGCTTGAATTTGAAGTCTTTACATTTCGCCAGCGGCGAGCTGATGCACCATGCGATTGACTTATCCTTTTATTTCCTCTAGGCATACGAAACTAGCTTAGTGTAGCTGCAAAATATATTATCTTAAAGAAAGACGTATATTATAAATGCTTCTGCTTGTACTATGGTTTTTCGCGGAAAGATTTTCTGGAGACCCTTTGTAAATCCTCTAAAGATCTCAAAAGTATGTTTATTCGATTTGCAAGCAGCGTTTATCCATTTGAGTATATTTTGGCTCTATTTGAACAAAAAATAGGCATTTTATTTAAAAATGACCTTCCTCCTTATCCTATGGTATCAGTAAACATGATTATTTCTCGACTGTAGTAACCGTTTAAGGGAATCCAACGAGTTAAGGGAAACAGTGTAAAATGAATAGGCGTCACGGTATAGCTCTCATGGCGGACCAATAGGATTCGGAGTCTGTAAAGTATGAATGTTCCATACTTTACTAAAACTGAAGCTCATTGGTCCGCCATTAGAACTCCAATGTGACCTCTATTCGTTTTACAGTATTTCTCTTAACTCGTTGGATTCCCTTAAACGGTTACCACACTCGACACAGAAAAGGAAAGAAAAAAAGCGATGCGTAAATTTTTGACTGGTGGCATGATGAGTCGAATCAGATAAAATATTTGCTATTATCATTTACGTAGAAAAACTAGATAGGTTTTGTTAGCGTCCATGATAAATCACTTGGACGCTAAACGATGATTAAGATGCGCCTTCTAGTCTAATTGGCTTAGGACAACTGTCAGGATAGCAGGAGGTGTGGGTTCGATCCCCACGAAGGTCATCTTTCTCATCGTTCTGTCACATAACATCAGTGACACTGCTTGTCTCTTTCGTTCTATACATATGTAAGCTAACAGGTTTACAAAATCAACCTATCCATGATGTACTCGACACGATTCGTGGCGCCACCACCAATAGAGTTTTAGGTCTAGAGTCGTTTTAACAACTTCTCTATACTCAGTTTTTGATGCTGAATCCAAAAAAAGAACAAAGTAGAAAATTTTTCACATTTTGAAAAAGATGTCTTTTTGAAAAAAAACGACATCCTTCAAGTACTTCGTATTTTTCGACCAGAAGAAGGCATTTTCTGAGGTTAAAAAATAGTTTTCGTGATCAACAGCTCACACTCTATCGATCTATGTGAAAAAAGGACGGAAAAAAAATTTTGCTTGAAATTCGCGTTTTCAACACCTTACATTATAGTTTCTTTTAATTTCTGTTCGAAGTTTTAGATGTAATCATTTTTATTTAAAAAAACAACTTTTAATATTTATCATCGTGCATGGTGGTAATATCTTTGATGTTTCTTATATTGTTTAAGTTATTTCGTTCACTTTTTGTAATGTTCTGAGTTTTGAACTTTCATCATGTTTGAACTGACAGACGTTGAAATCTTCGTAACGGCTGCTCGTCTGATCAATTTCAGTGTTTGAATTAGGAACTTTTCTGTATTAGTTATATGTTCTACCAAATTGATTTAGGGATTGTAACAAGCTTTAAAGCTTTTAATAATACATTGAATTGTTGTTTACTTAAATCTATGCTTGATATATCGATGACATCAAATTTTGTTCGTTTGTTGGTTCTTATTGCCTTTCTTACCCTTGTTTTCTATTATTGGTCTTCTTTTTGAGTTTCCCATCAGATTTTTCAGTTTCTATTCTTGTGTTTTTCTAATGAGTCTCTTTTTCTTATATGTGTATGATCATCCATGGAAGGTCTATTCTATGGTCTCTATTAGATTGATATCCATTCATATAACAATGCAATAGCAACTTTTGAATGTTTATTTCAATATAGTTTATTTTGAGTTGTTTATATCTCTATTGTAACCCATTGTTTCTTATTTTTATCACTGATGTATATATGATTATAGTCCATCCAAAAAGTCCGTGCGTGTGACTATTTTTTGAAAAACTCGAGAACAAAAAGAGATATAAACCTGCGGTTTTCACCATTGCGTAGAGCTTGGAGTCCTCTATCGATCGACTAAGAGAAGATGAAAAACATCGACTTTTCAAGTAATGTCCATTATCAATCTTTGAAAAATGTGAACGTGGTTGCCTTAAGNCAATTACTCACATCATTTTATGCACTAAAGAAAATTGTTTACCTTGCGTGAAGAAAATTAAAACTTGATTTTTAATCTTCATGATTTTGTAGGTGAGCAGTTGGCATTTTTCTAGTATTCAGTGACTTTGGTGTTTCGAAAAACAATCTAACGGTGATTTAAAAGAATGTTTCATTCAGATCGACAGAAAATTCTATCTTTTAACATTGGCACAAAACCGTTTGGTTGAGTTTAAATTGGCAAAAACAGTCTGCTGGAAACCTGCAGTATCCCTTGTTGCGCCCTTAACTAGCGTTCATGCGTTCGTCTAAAAGTGAAACGGCTATTGTCAGTAGCAAGAGCTCAAAAAGAAAAATGCTATAGTGCTTGCAGTGCATATCTGTCGAAAGTCTACACCAGTAACAAAAGATGAAGTCGATATCGATATCGATTTCAAATTAGGCAATGACTGTCCAAATTCGTACTCATTCTGAGATGAGTTGGAGAATATTTTTCCAGATTTCTCCATATTGGCATGTCACATGTATATAATGCCACAGAATTCAGCTGCTGCCGACGGAGAGTCTTTGGTAGCAGATGAAATTATCAACCAAAGATCTACATATATATATTCCTTTGTTGCTATTCAGAGAAAGAAACTGGACGGGGAATCGAGCGAGGTCCCGGGACGGGGACTAATTTATTCGAAGCGAGGCGAGGAGCAAAAATTCTTCCCCGTTTCGAGCTCTGGCTCATACTATAGAGAAGATTCTGTTTACATGACCGAAAAATACATAGTACTGAAGACTTGCACGAAGGCATGAAAAAAGAGTGGAGAGAAGAAAATGGAATGAGAAAATATTAGCAGAGTACAGTTGAATTAATTATACCAAAAGGTTAATTAGATATCTGTAATATGCTGGTGGAAAGGTGGTCATCTCTAATTGACTGTGTGTAAAACGATGATTGTTACTGATTATCGGTCTTTCATTTCGATGAATTTTCTCATATGGAAGACACGCAATTTGTAATGGTGCTGAAGCTGGATGAATTCGATGCTGCGAAAGATTATAGTGTGTTACTATTCTAGGTATTTCCTTATATATAAGAAATTCTATTGATCTCTAGAGTATCAGCTATATACCTTCCCTGATGACGGGCATAGAATTTTGAAAATTTTGAGTGTTATTCGTGTAGTTGCAAAATATTTCATATCACAGTTAGAGCCTTCTCAGATCTGTAATAAAAGAGAAGAAGACATTTTTTTAGCAAGTATCTACGCTTTTGTCTTACTCTGTAACTAACACGAGAGAACATCAACCCTCAGTCGAAAGCAAAACGAATAAAGAAAAGAAGCTTGCCATATAATTAATAAACGGTAGAGAAGAACTGTTGCCAAATAATTTTAATGCCTCAGACAAAGCACACGAATGCAAATAATAGGAGCATACCATAGCGAAAAGAGGCCACTGATCAGTATTCTGTACATTAATACAATTAAAATATTATGATATGAGAAATTATTTTTTCCTAAATAATTCTTGCTCATGTACACTGCTCATATCGAAAGTATTTGATGCCTATTTATTACTAATTGAGCATTCAAGTCTTGTACTCAGTTAAATGTTTATAATACTAATCTCATGCAATATTCTAATCGATTTAGTGCTTTCATTCTTATTGCAGTAGCGAGATAAATATTAAGCATGAGAGGGTGTGGGTGTTGATCTAATCATCTTTCACAGTCACCCACATCGTAACTGTAGTNAATCTAACGGTGATTTAAAAGAATGTTTCATTCAGATCGACAGAAAATTCTCTATCTTTTAACATTGACACAGAACCGTTTGGTTGAGTTTAAATTGGCAAAAACAGTCTGTTGGAAACCTGCAGTATCCCTTTTTGCGCCCTTAACTAGCGTTCATGTGTTCATCTAAAAGTGAAACGGCTACTGTCAGTAACAAGAGCTCAAAAAGCAAAATGCTATAGTGCTTGCAGTGCATGTCTGTCGAAAGTCTACACCAGTAACAAAAGATGAAGTCGATATTTATATTGATTTCAAATTAGACAAAGACTGTCCAAATTCGTACTCATTCTGAGATGAGTTGGAAAATATTTTTCCAGATTTCTCCATATTGTCATGTCACATGTATATAATGCCACAGAATTCAGCTGCTGCCGACGGAGAATCAAGCGAGGCCTCGGGGCCGGGACTAATTTATTCGAGGCGAGGCGGGCAAGTCTTTTTTTCGGGCGAGGCGAGGAGCAAAAATTCTTCCCCGTTTCGAGCTCTGGCTCATACTATAGAGAAGATTCTGTTCATATGACCGAAAAATACATAGTACTGAAGACTTGCACGAAGGCATGAAAAAAGAGTGGAAAGGAAGAAAATGGAGTGAGAAAATATTGATAGAGTACAGTTGAATTAATTATACCAAAAGGTTAATTAGATATCTGTAATATGCAGGTGAAAAGATGGTCATCTCTAATTGACTGTCTGTAAAAGAATGATTGTTATTGATTATCGGTCTTTCATTTCGATGAATTTTCTCATATGGAAGACACTCAATTTGTAATGGTGCTGAAGCTGGATGAATTCGATGCTGCGAAAGATTATAATGTGTTACTATTCTAGGTATTTCCTTATATATATAAGAAATTCTATTAATCTCTAGAGTACCAACTAT